GCCCCTGGATCCCTGGAAGTGTCCAAGGCCGGGTTGGAGCAACCTGGGCTGGTGGAAGGTGTTGGGTTTGGAACTGGACGATCTTCCAGGTCCCTCCCAACCCAAACCATCCTGGGATTCTGTGGCCACGTGGAGAACGTTTTGTGCTCCCAGAACTCCCAGCCTGCCCTGTTCTTTTCCAAGGAAAACCCTGTTCCAGTGAGAGGGACTCCCATCCTTTCACCCTTCAGGTCCATCTGAAGACATGATGCCAAATGGAATAATTTAACAGAAAACTGGAGTAAAAATGCTGTAACTTTTATTCTGGAATTCCTCTCTTCTATTCCCTGGGCATGATCCTGGGTTTTGACCAATAGACACATATTGGATGTAATTTATGGATTCTCCAGATCTGTCCTTGGCTGTTTCATCCTCTTGCTTTCAAGACTTAAAGCATTAAATACAAAAGGATCTGGATTTCCCTTTTTGTGTTTGTAGGGGAGGGGAAATTACCTGAACCAAATATGTGCCCTTGCAGCGTATAAAAAATGGTTTAAATAATAAAATAATAAATAATAATAACAATAAAAATGGTTTAAATAATAACAAATGGTTATTTTATCTGTAGCCTTTTTGAAGTTTGAACCTGTGCATGAAAGGGGGGGGAAAGGACCATGTTTTTCAAACATTTCCAAAGGAATAGGTGGACAGATAAGAAATCTCAAATCTCCAAAGTGGTTTGTGATGGGAGCTGTGCATTAGCACCCTGAAGAACTTAAAATATTAAAGGGATGGGAATGGCTAAAAAAATATTTTAATTTAATTTTTAATATAATTATATTAATATATGAATATTTTAGCAGTCTTGCACCCCCCAGGTTCTGACATTCTCCAGTACTTCAACAGTCAACAGTCCTGTTTTATTGCCCTGGAGTCTGAGCAGAAATTGCCATCAGAGAAATGTGATTCATTTATCTACAGTCTTCTTTTGCAATAAATTAACTTTTCTCCTTTTAAATGCTTCTTCCCCCTGGAACAAATCCCTGCTCCTCGTAGAACTGCAGCTTTTTTAACTGAAACATCACAAAGTTCCCATCTGGGAGCTCCCCACTTGTATCTTACAATAATTCTATTGAATGATCTATAGCTCCACTTTTATTCCCTATTAGTAGCTGGCTGATCAATGAGCAGCTTAATTGATTGTTAAGGGCAAATGTCTTTATTGGCTTTTCTTTTCTCATTACGACTTAAACCATTCCATGGTCTGCTGGAGTTCTTGTACTCATTTTTTTGCACTCCAGAACAATAAATTTCGTGATGCAGATGCTGCTCAACAAGATATTGATGCTGCTGCCAGCCCAGATATTCCCAATAAAACAGGGCTTTGCTTTTCCAGCCAGGTTTGTGGCAGCAATGTGTGAAAAGTTCCATATTTCCCTCGGAATTTGCACTGTTTTGTTACATTTTTAGGCTGGGCTCTCTCAAATGTCCCCCCATTTTCCCCTCTGTGTCGTCTCAGCATTCCCTGGAGATTGATTCTGGGATATCGATTCCTTCTGCTTTCCTTAAGATGTTTATAACTGAATTACTTGGCTGAGACTCCCATAAACTTGATGGAGCTGCTTCGTCCATTCATAAAACTCCCAGTTTTCTGAGGCTGCTTCAGGATGAGAAGAATTGCACACTGGGCTCAGTGAAACTATTATGGGAATGGGGAATAATGATTTTGGGATAATCATCCTGGTCGGGCTTCATGAACGAAGATTTGGGGAGGACTCTACCCACGTTTGTTACAAGCACGTTGGTGGCTAAAAAGGCCAACACGAGATAGACACGTCCGGTTGCAAAAGACACAGCAGAAAGACTCCTTAGGTGGTAAATTCTGCAGGGCTCGATTCTTTCTGCATTGTCTTTTCTCCTCAAGGGTGATCCTGGTGCTTTCTCAAAGGCATCAGCAGCGTTATAGATGGTCTGTCTCCAGGCCTCCCGATTGGAGGCCAGAGTAGACCAGTTGTGTTGATCAATATGGCCAAGGCTGAGATGTTGTTTCAGGGAGTCCTTGTATCTTCTCTTTGGGGCTCCTCTCATGTGGCAGCCGGTGGCAAGTTCACCATAAAGCAGGATCGTAGGGAGGCAATGGTTGGTCCTTCATCCTGGAGACGTGCCCTGCCCGTCGCAGCTGCGTTCTCAGCAACATGGCCTCAATACTTGTGATTGCTGCTTGTTCTAGAACAGATGTATTGGTCACATAATCTGACCAGTGGATGTTTAGGATTGTACAGAGGCAGCGTTGATGGAAGCGTTCTAGGAGATGCAGGTGGTGGCAGTAGATGACCCACGATTCGGATCCATATAAGGCTGAGGGAGCTGGGGCTGTTCAGCCTGGAGAGGAGGAGGCTCAGGGGAGACCTCCTCACTCTCTACAACTTCCTGACAGGAGGGTGTAGCCAGGTGGGGGTTGGTCTCTTTTCCCAGGCAACTCTCAGCAAGACAAGAGGGCTCAGTCTCAAGTTGTGCCAGGGGAGGTTTAGGTTGGATATTAGAAAGAATTTCTTTCCAGAGAGGGTGCTCAGCCATTGGAATGGGCTGCCCAGGGAAGTAGTGGGTTCTCTGTCCCTGGAGATTTTTAAAAAGAGACTGGATGTGGCACTGAGTGCCATGGTCTAGTAACCGCAGCGGGGTTGGATCAAGGATTGGACTTGATGATCTCGGGGGTCCCTTCCAACCCAGCTGATTCTATGATTCTATGATAAGAGAGTAGACAGCACTATGGCTCTGTAAACACTGATCTTGGTACTTTTCTTCTGGTGTTTATTTCGCCAAACTCTTTTATGGAGTTTTCCAAAAGCACTTTGCTAACCTGTTGTCCATCTCCCCGTCAATCTCACCATCCGAGGAGATGAGGCTGCCCAGGTAATTAAACTGCTGGACTGATTTGAGCTCCAATTCACCAATGGTGATGTGGGGACGATGGAAGACTTCCTGAGGTGCAGGTTGATGGAGAACTTCTGTCTTCTTCAAGCTGACTTCCAGCCCAAAAAGCTCATCAGGATGTTAAACGCTGCAGAGCTGCTTCTGTGTGGGCAACAAGGGCGGCGTCATCAGCGTAAAGCAGCTCCCGGACAAGATGGTTTAAGGTCTTGGTGTGGGCCTTCAGTCATAGAATCATAGAATCAGCTGGGTTGGAAGGGACCTCCAAGATCATCAAGTCCAACCCTTGCTCCAACACCACTGCAGTTACTAGACCATGGCACTAAGTGCCACATCCAGTCTCTTTTTAAAAATCTCCAGGGACAGAGAATCCCCCACTTCCCTGGGCAGCCCATTCCAAAGGCTGAGCACCCTCTCTGGAAAGAAATTCTTTCTAATATCCAACCTAAACCTCCCCTGGCACAACTTGAGACCGAGCCCTCTTGTCTTGCTGATAGTTGCCTGGGAAAAGAGACCAACCCCCCCGGCTACACCCTCCTGTCAGGTAGTTGCAGAGAGTGAGGAGGTCTCCCCTGAGCCTCCTCTTCTCCAGGCTGAACAGCCCCAGCTCCCTCAGCCTCTCCTCATAGCACTTGTGCTTGAGTCCCTTCACCAGCCTTGTTGCTCTCCTCTGGACCTGCTCCAGGACCTCAATGTCCTTCCTGAGCTCAGGGCCCAGAGCTGGACACAGCACTCCAGGGGTGGCCTCACCAGCGCTGAGTCCAGGGGAAGAATCACTTCCTTGGACCTGTTGGCCACACTGTTCCTGATGCAGGCCAGGATCCATTGGCCTTCTTGCCCCCCTGGGCACACTCTGGCTCATGTTCAGCTTCTTGTCAATCCAAACTCCCAGCTCCCTTCCTGCCTGGCTGCTCTCCAGCCCCTCTGGCCCAGCCTGTAGCCTTAGGTTGAAAAGGCTTCCATCAGTATGATATCAAATGTAGATCCCGTCCTGATCATCGAGGTCTGCCGTGGCCCTTTGGAACATCTGCTGAAAAAGATTGTGAATAGGGTTGGAGCAAGAACATAGCCTTGTTTCACACCAATATTTGTGGATAAATCCCATTCCTGGGGAGGAGGTCGTGGAAATCTCCTTCCCTGGCTTTGAGCTCCCTCAGCAGAGGTTTTGGTGCTGCTCCAGGGGGTTGTTTCACCTCCTGAAATTTTCAGCATCTTTGTTTTTGCTCAAGTTCTGGGGGTTTTGGGATGGGATCTCTGTGCTTCCATAGAACGGGATCTGAGCTTCGTGGGAATGAGGGAAGCACCTGTTTGCCTGTCCTGGAATTCCAGGGTCAGGCAGAGTTTCAGCTGGGGTAGGCAGAGCTTTATTCCAGGATTTACATGGATTTTGGTAGTTTTATAGGTGGCTGTCTAGGATTGGTGACTCTCCCACTTTTCTACCTTTGTGTGGAAAAGTCAATTCATATTCTTGAGGAAGTTGCTTTTTCATTTCTTAGCCAGGCTTTCATTAATTCACCTGACACAATCTGAGGGAAGCAAATATTCCTTTCTTGTCTGCTTGTTTAAACAAAATTGGGAGGGTTTGAGGCAAAATCCTTGTCTAACAATAGGAACTAGAAACCTGGATATGTAGGATGTTGTAAGTGCTTTGTTGGGTAAAATATGCATCTGAAAATACTTGACTCTTCACACAAAGACATTTTCTCTGCTTCTGTATGAATAAAACCCAGCGTTTTATGGCTTTACTATTTATGTCTCTGTCCCATCCCCCCTGATTTTACTTCACAAAGGCATATTCCCAAAGAAAAATGCATTTAATTTAACATATAGTGTGTGTTGTTTAATTTTCAACAGGCTGCGCTAATTGAAAAGCTGTTTGAGAAGAGTAATTTTTAAAAAAAGAGGAATTTTAACTAAATGTTGGGGGCTAAAATTTCCAAGCTGGTTAAAAGCACAAAAAGCACTCCGGCTGCTCTAGAGAAAAAAAAACAAATAAACAAACTAAAACACTGTGTTATGCAGTTGTTTCTGTAATTGGGAATATTTTTGTGTTCTGTTAACGTTTAATTGCCTTTTTCTTCTAATTGCAGTTAATAATGAAGAGCTGAAGAAAAGAATAGCTGAAGAACTGGCCTTAGAACGAGCCAGGAGAGACTCTGAAGCTCAAAAGAGGAGGTTGGTTCATTAATAACGAGCAGGATTTCAATTAAACGTGTGCTTAATGCTTTGATTGTTATTTAGCTGCTTCTTTTCGTGCCCTCAGCCGGTGGCAGGTGAGATCTTGAGCAAGTTTTGATGTTAAATATGTGTTAAAAGAGCAAATAAACCGGGATTTCCACGTCAGAGCTGCTCTAAATCCCTTTTTGACCTCCTGAGCGTGGCTTTTTTGCAGCATTTTAAGCTCAATCTGATGATTTCTCTGGAGTCCAAACCATCCCTTTGTGGTGCAGAGGCAGAAACAGCAGAGCAGGGCAGGGGTGGGGGCCTTGTGACCCCAAAAGGAACATTTTAACAGCAGGAAAAATGGTCATTCTTGTCATTTTTACGAATTCCAGAGATTTCTGGGAGCTGCAGTAGGGCTTGAGTGGATTTACTAGTACAGTGTGGTTGCTTTGAACGTGCCAAATACTTCATTAAAACAGTTTACTGGTAGAAAAATCTTGGATATAATTTCTACCTATTGAAATATTCCTTTCTTAAGCTTTGTTTTTTAAGAGTGAACTGAAAGCCTGGGCAAAGCCATTCTTAGCCATGAAAAATTCCCCTTTAAATTGGAAATAGATTTTGGTGCCTGGTGAACTCAGTGGACTTATTAGTCCATTAGTGTGTTTATTTATATTTTCAGTGATTGGCACAAACAGATAATGACACACTGAATATAAATATTAACTTACACGTTGTCCCCCGCCCTGAGAATGGGAAGAAAAGCTCATTATGATGGATTAAAAAATATTAGAATGTAATTAGAACTACTTAAACTGCCTGCATATATCTGAGTTGTTTCCTACACATCATCATATTATTATTTAATTGAGTTTGGTTGATGGAGTATATAATTAGATAGGACTCTATAATGTCCCAGGGAAAAAAAAAATCAGGCTTTTCTCTTTTTTTTTTGACATCAGCAATAAAGGAAATCAATAAGTTGCAGTGAAATCTCTTCTCTCTGGAACTGGGCTCTGACAGGAAAACTTGGGTTGTGTTTGAGCTTCGTGTTGGCTGCTCAAAACTGGAGTTAAATGGGATTAAAATAAAGAAATGTCTGGTTTGCAGCATCAGCAGTTTGTAATTTGACCCTTTGCAGTCCCTTCCGTTCAGTTTTCCATAATTCAGTTATCCCAGGCTGGGAAAGGGTTGTCAGAGACCTGATATTTTTAGGGAATAATGCTGGAAGTCTTCCCTCTCTTTGACTCAGGATTAATGGGCAAGATGCTACAGATCAAAACATCTTCTTGTTGTCTTAAAACGAGGGTGAAAAATCAGTGCTTTTGGAATTTAAAAGCATCCAAATAAATTAATAAAGAGGGTAAAAAAAGGCAAATATCAAGTGTTGTTGGCAGTTTCTAGTTTTGCCTCATTTAATTGATTTTTTAGCCATGGCGAGGATTTTTTATTATAATTTTTGGACAATATATATAATTATAGAAATAATAATAAATAATTTTAGAAATAATAATAAATAATATTAAATAAATGTAAGATTAATAAAGTTAAATATAAAATAATAAATATAAAATATAAATTAATCTAAAATAAATATAATAAATAAATAAATAAATAATACAATAAATAATTATATATAATAAAAATGCATTTCAAGCAGAGTGTAGAGGCTTTTTTGTGTTGGAAGCCACGACTTTAAAAGATGTTTTTCTTAAGTAATTTTTAAGGTCTTTATGGGATGAATTCTGGTTGAGATTTGTCTCTTAAAAACATTAAAAGAGTGCAGAGTGTTCAGTTATTTTGTCTTGCACGTGCAGAGTGTTCTGGGTGATACAAACATGAAATACAAACTGTAATAATTAATTTGTGATATAAACCCCAAACACATTAATGCAATGTTAGAAAACAGAAGAAAACTAGAACTACTTCTAATATATTAACAATTTCATTTGATAACCCACCACTTTCAAGGCACTTGTCAGTATTATGTGACAAAAAAATTAAGGTTCTTTTGCTTCCACATTCCTCTTGTGGATTGTTTTACCATAGATGGTGTAGTTTGAATATTCACATTCTCGTTCCTTCCTCAAAAATATTGGTTTTTTTCCCCTCAAAAATACTGTTTTTTTCCAGTCTTGAAGTGAAATAGCATTTAAACATATAAATATCTGAAGCTTTCAGCAGTTTGTTGTGTGATTCCAACTGTCTAATGGCTGATTTCTGTGTGCAGTGTGTGACCACATTTTGATTTGATTGCAAAACGTGTTTTACTCATTTCAAGACTGTGAAGGAAGTTTTAATTTTAACTTCTATATAAATTATTGATTCACACATACATACCCAGTGCAGATGGGCTCCTCTTACCTCTTGCTGTATACAGTGAAGATCTGTTCTTATTTCTGGGATTAAGAGCTGAAAAAATACTCTTAAATTGTGTTTTAATGCCTTCGACTCACTGACAATACAGGAACTGCAGCTCTGGTTTAACAGTTGAATAATTATACATAAAACAGGGGGTTAGACCTGGATTTAGGACATGTGTCCAAAATCCTGCACCCATAAAACAGGGGGTTAGACCTTGATTTAGGACATGTGTCCAAAATCTTGCACTCGTTGATCTCTCATATTCCCAGATGTTTTTTCCTGTATATTCAATGTATTCAACTCTGTGGGATTGAGTTGGTTACAAACTTTCTGTGCTGAGAACATGAAGCTGCTCTGAATTTCTGGATCAGGGTGAAAACCAGGTGGCAACTTCCATTTTCCCACAAATAGTAAGGAACCTTCACGGGATTTTCTTCCCTCAGGGACGTCCCTGGGATCTGCGGCTCCCTCAGGAGGGGCAGCTCCGATCTCTGCTCCCTGAGAGTGGGGAGGGGCTGGAATGGATTTCCCAGAGAAGCTGTGGCTGCCCCTGGATCCCTGGAAGTGACCAGTGACAGGATCCAGGGAATGGCTGGAGCTGTGCCAGGGCAGGGTTAGGTTGGATTTTAGGGAAAGGCTCTTCCCCCAGAGGGTGGTTGGGCACTGACCAGGCTCCCCAGAGGGCAGAGGGCACTTCCCAAACCTGCCAGAGCTCTGGGAACATTTGGACAACGCCCTCAGGGACAGGGTGGGATTGTTGGGGTGTCTGTGCAGGGCCAGGAGTTGGAGGATCAATGATCCTTGTGGGTCCCTCCCAGCTCAGGATATTCTGTGATTCTCTGAAGGGCCTTTGCGCTCCTGCTTTTAACTCTTGATTTCCCTGCTGTTTTGGCCAAAATATGATGTCTTTAAAAGGAAATCCATATTTCTTCATCAGTCCAATCAAAAACTGCATTCTTCCTCTTCTTTTGTTGTTATTAAATCTGTTTTCATATGTAAGGAGAACTTGATAGATAAGGTGACCTGAAATTCCACTGAGATTGTTGCCCAGAGAAGATGTGGCCACTTCCCAAACCTGCCAGAGCTCTGGGAGTGTTTGGACAGCGCTCTGTGGGACAGGGTGGGATTGTTGGACCAGGAGTTGGATCAATGATCCTTGTGGGTTCCTCCAGCTCAAGAGGAAATCCTGTGATTTCAAAGTCCATGTAGACCTTGTGGAAACATTGGAAGTTGTTCCCGAGCTTAAAAGCTCCTGGGGCTTGTTGTCCATGGATGGAAGTTCCCCCATGTCTGAGGGCCCTGGGCCAGGACACTCCCTCATCTCTCTGCTCCTGCATCCAACTCCTGGACAAACATTCCTGGCGGTGCTTTATTAAAGCTGCTTTTCCGATTGATCCCTGGGAATAAACTTACTTGGATAAATTGAATGAAAGCAGTTGCTGTGCAGAGAAGCCCTTTTTTTCCCCTTCCATCACATTATGAGGGAGCAAAGTTTCTTTTCCCAGGACTGAGCTGTCCCTGAAGGAAAAGTGTCTTGTTTTGTGTCCTGTTTTTCTCATGTGTCTGCTGGGAAGTGTTGGAGGTGGGTTTTCTGAGTAAACTGGACCTTTAGTCTGACTGGTGTAAGTATTCCTGTGCCCTCTCAATTCTGGAAAACAGGAATGTGGTAACTTCATCTCATGTTTCCTGATTTTCCTAATTTTTTTTGTCCTGTATTTCCTAATTTTTCCTTTTATTTTTTTTTTCATATTGACCACAAACACCACTGAGGAGCCAAAGGTATTTCTAGTTCACTCCTCCTTTTACTCAGCCCAACTGTTGTTTCTCACTTCAGTTTCTGAGCGTTTGAAATGTTTCTTCCAAAAAGTGTCTCCATTTAGAAAAGTTAATTATTGATTTAAAAGTTGATTATTATTGGATTTGCAACCGAATTTGCATTGGCTGCAGGGGTGTAAATGTGACCAGTTCATGTGGCAGAACTGCAGTTTCAAGGATGATACTCGAGATAACAAAAAAACAAGAGGATGGACACGAGAAGTTGAGTTTGATGGGGTGACAGGGAAGAAATGATAATTGTTGATGTTGTTCACAAAGTTCTTAACTTATTTTGCAGTGTCTGATAACAGAGAGAGATGAAAAGTTGGTGAAACTGGTTATTTGCCGTGACAGAAATGATAGAAAATAATGACAATATTTGGGATTTCAGTCTTACAAGTGGAATTCTGTTTTTTTAACTGGAATAATTTTGTTAATGTTGGTGCTGATCCCCTTCTGGTCAGCAAGAGGTGTGTGTTCCATCGAGTTCTGCAGAGGAATCTGCACAGCTCAGTGGCCCAGTTGGGAATAACTTGATTTTTGCCTTTTCTCTGCTTATTCTGGACAAGCTCAGCAAATACTCAGATTTCTTCCTGATTTCCCAAGAAATGAGTTTTAATGCAGAACAGGCAAGGAGCAAATAGGTCATTTTCTAATATCTAATTTCTGAGCTGAGTGGAAGTTTATCTACCACATACACTGACCTTGTCCTGGAATATTAAACTATTAATTTTTTAAGGTCCGTGATACTGATGGTGCTTGATAAATCCGTTTATAAACGGATAATTTATATACATATATATTTATAAATATATAGAAACTATATATAAATA